TGAAAAAAAAACAAAGAAGAATTATGCTGTTTTTCAAATTGCACCAGCAAGTTTTTATATAAAAAATATATACCTGTATCTATTAACATAATAAGTTCCTACCTTCTTCACAAATGTAGCTTCTGCAATGACCACAGTCATATCTTTACCAGACTCCGTCTTGGTAGAAAACCACACATTGAAAGTAGCAGTGATGTTTCCTCCTTTTACATCAATTGGTTCACCTCTGTTGCCCTTGGAGTATGGTTTCAGATATCCAAAATGCAATAGAACCATTCCAACAAGTTTAGCAGCCTCTTTCGCATCTTTTGCAGCGACATATAAATTGTGACAATCCCCGTGCTTTGTAAATACATTGTATCCGATGTAAGGTTCGCTCTTCTAAAAATATGTAAATTATAAACAGCTTTGAGTCAACATGTATTATGACGCGTCCTTACAGAAAAAAATTTGCATATATATCCGCAAACATTGTGCTTACCAGGTTACGACGCGCGGTAGACAACTTTTCCAAGTGGCTCTTCGTTTCTTCGCCATGCAATGACTTTAGCACGCATTTTGCTTCATCCACGTGTTTGTCTGTGAAAGTTACACCACTATGTTTCGCTCTAAAATGCTGAGCAAGCCCGTTCACCTCAAAAAAATCATTTCGAAAATCTCGTCTACATTGCGGAAGAGGACATGGAATCTTTTCATTTATATAGGCGGCATGAAACGGCCTCTCGTGAAGTCTCGCTGCATTTACACAATCATCGTTGGCGTCCGCCATTACTGTTTCCGCCATGTTTCTTTGTGATCTGCCAGTCGTCAATTTTTCTTCGTCGTTCCCATCATGCAACGCAAAACTCCGTACACTGATCTATATAAATCGTAATTGACGACTGGGTACGAGTCAGGTGTTGAACAGAGTAAAATACTAAAGTGGCTGCATAGGGATGGTATTGCCAGTTAATGGGTTGACAGCTAAGACGTTCATAAAATATGTCTTTTTCTTGTAAATACAGTAAACAAACTTATTAAAAGGTTTCCTTGACGTATAATAATTATTAAGCTGGTATTGCATAAAAGAAAAAGTTTTTTGTTATTTTGTTATGGGTGCCAAAGTTATATATTTGAATACAACATCTGTATATTATAAACATCTGTGATCCATGTATATTGCAGGGCAAATATGTAATTCATGCACAAAACATATTTTCTACAAATTCTTATTTTTGACTTACCAGAAGCATAATTCCTTAATGGTCTGACTAAGTATGATTCCACCCACTCATCCAAGGCAATGTTATGACCATGTCTTCCCTTCACATTAACTGAACAATTGTTCTGTAGTAGTTTTCTAGTTGCCAAAGGCCATGCTGCTAAAAGGTTGACAAGGTGTACAAAAGCCTCAGTCCAGTAGTTCCGTTTCTGTAACTGAGCAAACAGTGGTAACATGAGCATCCAAACAGCCTCACGACCGATACCATCCCCACACTTTACACTTGTTAAATATAACTCCCTCAATGGGCCGAAGAGAGTGATCAATTGACAGTGGTACTGGAATTGAGGATTACTGCTGTTATTTTCAATCCAGTCTTTAAACAAGTTTAGAAGAAGCTCATGATGGTTTCCATGTTTCTGTTCATATGCATCAAGAGCGTCTTTAGAAGGAAACATTTCACTTGCAATGAATTCTTGAACTGCAGCTAGCCCATATGCCATAGAAACATCCCGTACAGCCTCGTCAATACGGTTCAGGTTCTGGTACTGGAACTTTTTATCACCAAATGCAGCATCAGTAACTTTGACTCTTTTCATGACATGTTGAGCAACACACATAAAACCTGACTGACCCATTGTCTTTTTGCAAACCTCATACAAATAGCCTGAAAATAGTAAAAGGATGTTATATTAGTGAACAGTCACAAAGATCCTATTCCTGAAACCTGTCGAACGCAATGCACCAGAATTGTTTTGCCTAATGCATGTAATGATGTGGGGATTAGTGTTAAGCAGCTACTCCAGTGAGAAGAAAATGCTAGCAATTTTCGTCACGTAATACAAACATATTCAAAATTTGCAAACTTCGCAAGGCTGTATTTGCCAAGCTTTACAACATTTCATAACAAAACTTTGCAATACTACCATTTTCATTATGTTCTTTTTATCTGTGACGTTTGATTCCCTTTTCTGTATTTAGATTAAAATTTAGTTTATAATGGAAATTGTCCATTGCCAAAATATTATAAGACAAAGTAGGAAATTGTGTTACCTGGTAACAAAATATGAACTCGGCTATTAATATTAGCAATAAAATGCCCCACGAACGAATTCACCCAGCGGGCATTGGAAACAGGCTTCACTGAGCTTACACCATCTGATGTTTGAGCAAGAATATGCTAGGCTGTAGGAAGAGACTGCATGAGGAATTTTGTCCATAAAAGGGACTTCTCGATACTGTAACTATTCTACAGTTACCCTATATACCCACCTCTAGCGTGCATATCACCTGGGACCTCTGCTGCCGACTCGTATGCTGACTGTGATTTTTGCTTCACACTTCGAATAATTTAGTTTGTTCCTTGATCGCCAACCAACAAAGTTTTGCATTTATTTATATCACAACCATATGCCTTGTGTTCTTGATCATCCTTTTGTTCTCGATCTAACATATCCTCTGTTGCCACCATCGGTTCAGATGAATCACATTCAGTCATTTCCCAAATCAACAGGTCTAGTTTATCTTCTCCAGCTAAATATTGTTCAATTAGTACTTTAATGTTGTCATGATCAAGCTTTTCTGCAATTGCTTTTGGTCCAGGAACTGAAGTGAAAAAGCTTTCACGACATATTGCATAGCTTTCGAGTAAAATCCGTACCATTTCCTCTCACCTTTGAGTACAGCAAGTGTGAGAGGTGTTGCACCGTTGTTGTTCCATCAATCTTCTGAAACGAATATGCTTGCAAAGTTTCATTTTCACCTTCATCATCAATTTCCTCGCACTTTCCACTTCTGTTGGGTCATCTCCATCGGTAAGTTCTTTTCCATATTTGACAGTTGCTGCATAAGCTGTTCCATGTCTTTCTTGTGTTCTTGTAGCAAGTACAAAAATTCGTGATGTTTTCTTGCATCGTCAGTATTAAATGTTTTCATTCTCTCATTGTACGGCAAAACAACTCTCGCATGGTTGCATGGGATATTGAATTCCTTTCCAAATTCTTCCAGTACAGAAGCTGTTCCAGTGATAGTGGCATTATTCTCAAGGGATAGTGGTAACACCAAGATATTAGTACATTCTGTTGTACTCTCTGACGATGTTGATGAATAATTTAACACATACTTTTTCTTTGACACAGAAGTTGTATTCAGATTTTGTTTCTTTAACCATGATGTAAATTCCAATTCCGTCATGGAGCTAAATTGCTGCTGGGAAGGAGGAACTGCATTTAATCCGGTGTCCAAAAGCTTTGCCAAGTACAGATCTTTTGAGTCTCTCCACTTTTTCATATGGTCTGGGTTCGACTGTATAAAACATTAGAGAAGAAAATTATTTGGATTTATAAGCTTAGATTACACATGAAGGGACTTGGTTGTACAAGTAAGTATAGGTGAAATTATCCCAGATGTGTTGCTATTTTTTGTTGGATTTTACAATATTAATTATTAATCCTCAACCAAATTAATAATTCACCAGCAAAACAAAAAGGAAATTATTATGATTTTGTTGCATTGGTACCACATTAATACACGTTCATAAATTCCCCAATGTAAGGCTACGTGACAAGACTGGACAATTTCCCGACCGTACTCAAATTCTCATAGGTGGGTTGCTATTGTGGGTAGATTCTTTACAAAAATGCTTAGGTTAAGAAAGTCCTTCCAGACGGAGAGCCTTTGCGTGATACATTAAGTTTGCATTATATTTTTCAGGCAGACTGTCTTATCAGTCAAAGAATCAAATTCGTCAGGTTCTATTTGTGCACATGGGAAACCGAGCATGACTACTAATCATACAAGTTCCTGTGTAAATAGGTAGAACTAGACGAATTTGACTACAGGCTAAATCATGCATTCGACATTGCTTAAAACACTTAACACAATTTTCAGTATTTTAAAGATCCATAATAGACTTCCTCTCATCATATACATACTGTATGCTAAATAGACATACCAATGAAAAGATCTTCTGGCTTCAGGGTTGTTAGCTGTTTCTGTTGTTCTTGTGTCATTTCAGGGTTGTCAAGCAGATCACGTACACCATCGAAGTTGGGGATAATTGCACCCCGAACTGTGAAATTCCACATTGTGGGCCCAAGAACTTTAAAAATTCGGTGATGACGTTTATTTCCTCTGTACATGTTTATGTTGTCCAGTAACAGTATAACAGGGATATCAACAGGTGCATGTTCAGAGATAATTTTATCATAATTATCCAGCCTTTGTTTCAAGAAATTTGTTCTAAAAACAATCAGTGTATCAACACTACACCTTTCACATTACAGTTACCTCCAATGCTAATGGCTTAACTCATTCTCGTACCCAGATCCCTTCTTACTCGCGGTGCGACGATAGGCTCTGGCCAAATCCATAACCGGATACCATAAAAACATGGTAAGAAAACAATATCTGGTGTTAGAACTAGCCAATCAGATGCCATTTGGGATATGGATTTGGCTAGAGCCCCTCAAGTAGGGCTCTGCGTACGAGAATGGGCTTTACCTTGGAAAAGAATTCAAACCTTTCCCGATTCAAAAATCTCCACATCTCATAGCTAGCCTGATATGCAGTTATGTAACACATCTTTGTTAGTTAAGTTGTCTTTCTATATTTAGTTGTTTTTACTGACTATGCCCCAGTCATCTTTATTTCTGAATGCCTGAAATAGTGCTTGACAAATGAAATAGAGAACCAAAAGTGAGGCTTTGATTATCCATTTTCTAATTCAATTTTCTAGCAATAATTTAGGCCTACTCAAAGGAGTACGAGACTGGAGATGAGTTCCAATATTTATGCATGTATGTAATTGACATGTAATGAATTCCTAAATACTGTATGGTGAATGATTTTCAGATTGTTAATAGTTTCAGATACACTGGTAAACACATTATAATTTGCACACTCACATTGTGTCAAAATGAAGTGATATTCCAATGGACTGCAACATGTTGATAAACTGTTTTCCCGCTCCATATGATACACACAACAGTCCAAACAACAATGGAAAATCATTACAGCAGTTTGAGTTTCTGATGTTGTACAAAAGGGCCAAAGCATGATGTCCACAAAGCACTTTCTTTTCATTGGTTTTATGAACATTTCTTTCATGGTGGCTGGTTATGACCAATGCCTCCACAATACTGTGCAACAGTGGACATTTCTCTCTTACTTCATCTCCAAAATCTTTTAAAATGGACGGATGTAACAACTCTGTTGTATCTTTGAAATTCCCACCACGAATCCCAAGATTACAGATGTTTTGAAACACTTTAAGTTCTTTGGCGTTGATTGCATTTTGTTCAGGTGATAAACTTGATGGTGATGGCACAGCACTGTATTCAGCTTGTGTTTGGTAGAATTTAAGAAGAGTTCCTCAAAGTGCACATTTTCTTCACCTGCTATTTCCAGTTGCTGTAAAATTTGTCTTAGAACTTCTTCTACAGCTCCAAATTGATGATGGACATTGATCATCTCATCGATGAGAACATAAAAATGTTCAAACCCATATGAAAGAACGACAATGAATTGTAATTTTTAATAAATATTGTTGTTGTATATTTTGTGTAGAACTATTGGGGAGCAGGGTGGTGAAAGCAGTAAGCGTGCTGCCTATTACATCTAAGTTAAGCCTCCTATACAGCAGGTTGAGGATACGGTGACACTCAGATGAATACCTCAGTGTTCTTAACTAATCTTAACTCACATAAGTTGAGATTAGTTGGTTATCTTCTATGCTTCGAAGGTTTTCTCTGGGTACTCCAGTTTCCTCCATCGCTAAAACTAACCATTAGGCACTAATTCTTATGCACTAACCAAGCACTAACTGTACTAATAAATAAGGGGGGGGGGGGTCCTTAATATAGGGTAAATCTGGGTTCTCCTGCAAGGGCCTTGATGGTACCTCTCATGTCCTCCAATTTATAGAGTTGATATGCATACATTACCTACCTGAAATTGGTCGTAAACACTCAGAATCTTCGCAAGAGAATGAATTTTTATGTTTGAGATTCACATAAAATGTTCTATAGTCAGTTAAAGAAACATCTTGGTTGACAGATAAATACTATTGTGTTTCAAAATAGATATTAATTCCATCAGTTTTCAAAAGAATACAATTCACACAGATTTGTAATGTAAATTGCTAATCCCATATAATTCAAAAAGGATACAAGTAATTTTTTCTGTCCCTTCTGAGTGTAACGTCTAGGAAAATTTGTTTGATTGTACGAGTAACCAGTGAATTTGAAGTGCTACTACTATCCAAGCCAATAGATCACAGTAGGATATCTCTGTTTACCTCACTGCCATGCTGTTGAATAAAGGAAGCTTGCAGTAGATTTATTATTTTAGTCTTTCCGTCTGTAATTTCTTGACCTGAAGGTTTTCCTCCTTGAAAATAAAGCAAATAGAAAATTGCAAGTTATAGAGTACATGTGCATACCATACAGAGGTTATTACAGCTGTCAGTGAAGATGATTGTAAAATTCATTTCTATACATTGAATGTACCGTACTGGTATAGGCATAATATGAATGAAAGTAAGTGTTAAATATTAAAATGAATCTACAGAGTACATCTATTATGAACTGACTCATTTAGTTAGATGCCAGCTTCTAACTTAGCTGGTAAACATAAGATACTTACCAACAAGAGACCTTTTAGCCCTGGGTTGGTTGGACTTTTTGGAATTTGGCGTCAAGTCATGCTTTATTCCTCTGCTACTTCCCATAGTTACATCATCAATTTTGCTAATTTCAGCATCAGCAGATTCTGCAAAATCCTCTTGTCTCTCTGTTGGTTTGAATTAATTGATTGAACAAATTTCTACGTGTGGTTTGAGGGGTACTTGTTCTTATTTCCTTTTGCTCTTTTCTCCATATCTCCCAAAAGTGAACTCGCAGTTTCGCTAGATGCCTAAACCTACGCTTAACCTTTGTCGCATCATTATCTTCAGATGCACACACACGCGTACTTTAGAACATATTTATTTAAAACTATTCAAACGATAAAATATACTAACATAACAATCCTTCTGGTTTTCTCTCGTGCGTTCAGTCTGACAATCAACTCGAAGTATACTATTTATGACATATGATACATTTCTTACGTCAATCGACTAAATCAACTATTGTTTGTTGTCCCACGTACGGCGTTATCAATAGTATAGTGTTACAAATTGTTCTACACAGGGTATTTTAAATATGAGCCACAATACCTGTAGCTGTTGTTAGTGGTCCAACACACGTTGTTCAGCGTTTTCTTCAGCCTGTAATCGTCCACGACCTATACCACGCCCTCTACCGCGACCGGCCTGTTCCGCGACCTCTACCGCGACCTCTATCGCGACCTCTACCGCGACCTCTAGCTTTCGATCCTGGTTTTTGTGTGGTTTCTGAGGCATTTTCACGATCCTGAAGCCGAGAAGAAGTTTCGCCAATTTTTCTGTGCACGACCCCTCCCTCGCTTTGCACTTGGTTCCTGAATGTCATAAGACTCATCACTATCATGCTCGTATGCTCCCTAAAATTGTAACATATATATTTGAAAAACTAGAATCCGGGAGAGCGTATTAAATACAGAATTTCTTACATATTTTCAAAACGTACGTATCTGTGTTTCACCTTCTGATGTTTCACTTGAATTATCTGTATCACTTTGGTTGCGCCGATTCCGACACGAAGTGCTGTTTGGGTTGCAAACAGAAGAGCCAAACTGTCCTGTTTCTTTACATGGCAAGCATTTCTGCCTTTCTCTCAGGCACATTCCTCTACGTGAACACACTGCCATGTTTTTGTCCGCATTAGGAACGCCAGCGATTTCCTCAATTGCGCAGTGCTCTATTTCGTCTGCTGTGCTTAATATACTTTCGTCCATTGCAGTATAGTTTCGGCAATCAAATGCGATATGCCCTTTTCGGATTAGCAAGACCAGCTTGGCCAGATGGCATTTCATTTTACTTCCCAATCAAGAAGTATTGTAAACGGACCACACACAAAGTCAATATATTAAAATAAAATCCAGGTGAGACATAGGAGAAGATCGTAAAGACTTCGTGTAAGGCAGTTATAGTGGTTCAAAATAAAACAAAAAATGTAAACAATGCGCAGAAATGATGCGCAGAACGGACTTGACTTCCACTTTAAAGTTTCGAGCGATGCAGAGAAGAGAATATTAAGGGTGGCTAAAGCCATCACTTCAGAGAGAGCAAGTCGTGTTCATAAGACATATAAGCATTTACAGCAATTCTCTCCTGGCACAAAATTATTAGGTACAAAATCGTGAAGAAAAAATCTATTTGTCGTCGCTGAATTGATGAAAACACATTCGCTGCTATTATAACCTGAAGTTCAGGCCCTAATTTTAAATAGGGCCTGACACAAAACCTGTCTAAACCGTGGGAGGCCCACATGTTATTTTTAGACCAGTCATGCAATTAGCCTGCTCACAGACGTTGTCATTCTTACGCCAAGCAACGAAAAACAACCGTCTGCTTACCAGAGCGCCAAACTGAATTCCGCTACGTCGACCAATCAGAATTTACCTTCCAACTTCTGGAAAGTGACGTCAGTTGATTTAGGAGCGGAATAAATATAACTAGAAGTTACTATCGCAAGGAAAGTGCTGCCTCAAACCGTCATCCATCACACATGCATGTAAGGCACCCCTAAAGGCGGATTTCCAGTCCTCGCACGAAGCTCCTCGCAGCTCGCTGCGAGTGCATGCATGAGCACTTTCATCCAATCACAATGCCAAACAGTTAATTTTAATTAGATGCAAGCACTGGCAGCGAGCTGCGAGGAGCTTCGTGCGAGGACTGGAAAACCACCTTAAGACACCTGTTCAGGAGATAGAAAAAGTGCAATTTGAATACGAAAACACCTTGCACAAAGTCGAAGGTATATATTCTAATCATAAAGATTATAAATAACACTAGAAGAGGCATTGAGGTTAAAAATTTGGGAACACGTCTATTGGGGGGGGGGGGGCAAATGTAGGTCGCGGATATAAAATCATTCTCTCATCAATGGGA